AGGAATTTGTCATTGTTTTGATTGGGATGCAAAGATCAACACAAGATTCTTTCTGTCAGACTTGTATTCTCAGAAGGAAATGTATAGTACACATAAAATATTTATGATCATTTTGTACATTGTAACTATATCTATGTAAAAGCCAAAATAAATATCAACTGTTCCAGCTATACAGTATACAGTGCCTGATGTGTTTATTGCCACATTTTCTCTGACTAGTCTCCTGTCTGTTGTGTTTCTCCAGTGACTGTGTTATTCCAGGGAAATGAGTAACACAAGGGGAGGAGGGTGCATAATGGCTTCTACACTGTAGGGGGTTGTCTGAACTAACACATGGATCCTGCTCTACATCTCTTGATTCTGTGTTGAATCTGTGTTCGTGTATGACGCAGAAAACACATAGAGGGTGAGCTGCTCAGGTTTGTTTTGAAAGAAATCAGTGTCCATCACAGACACTTCACACTTTTCAGTTCATAGATTTTAAGGATCAATGAAATGCCGGAGATAAAAATAGAAGTCCTCTCCTAAGGCATTCCAAAGCCCAAATGGTTTGGTTTTATCTGTGTTATTTTGCAAGAACTGTTAGCTAGATTTCATTCTTTTTCTCCTTATGCAGTGAATAGATGAAGTATGGAAACCCTTGCAGATACAAGGAGAGCTATAAGCCTGTGCTGCTGAAATCTCAAGCTTTCACATCTTGCCAGATGGATTATTACAACACACTTTAAACAGTGTCAAAATATTCTCAAGCCATGTATGATTATTGATACAAGACTTCTGTGAATGATGGAATAGAGCAACAAAGAACAAAGGAGCTCAAAATAGCCACCAGTCACCAAAATGTTTGCGTTGAAGAGATGTATGTGAAATTGCCAGTTTGAAATTTTAAGTGTGAATCTTGTAGGGGGAAATGTAATGTAACCCATAATGGGAAACAATTTAAAGACAGAAGATATTAGTTGGGAAAGGGAAAATGATTTACTGAGCAGGGTCATTTTGGGGGTCAGCATTTTCTGTCATTTTATTCCCTCCATGGGCTCAGTTACTGAGCAGAATGTTTTACATAATAGCATTCTGGACTCCCTTCTTGGTTGTTGATATTCCACTTGTGTATGCTCAGAGCATGTCAATGATGACAGCTGGTTATTTCTTCAACACCCAGATTTTGATTATGTCTTGTTTTATGGTCAGTATTTGGTTTTCACAGGGAATGTTTTCCCACCCAGAAGACAACAAATGTTGGACTGACCCAGTAATTGTTCTTTCCTATATTTCCTTTGGGCTCTTGTTCAGCTAGTTGGATCAGAGTTGTTTTAAACATAATTAGGCCATCATATATCACTCTGGGTTAGTTTGCATGTGACTTCACCAAGGAGACCCAATGGGACTATTAGAGTACTTTTTGGACAATATATCTGTAACTATTTTAACTACTTTATCATGGAAATAAAGTTTGTAAACAGTAGTCTTTACAGAGTGACAAGTTAAGATATATTGCATCCTAATAGAGATGTTTAGTAAATTAGATTTTCATAGTGCTAATTGAATTTGTCACAAAGCTGATGAACATTAGCTAAAGAAAGGGCAATATATTTTATTTTATTGAGCACATCTCAGAGTGCTTGTAATTTAGTAGGGCCACCACACTTTCTGGGCAGGCTATCAAGTAGGATGTTGTAATGATTTGCATGACTACTATAGTAGATGGAAAAATGTAGCTTGTGTTTGTAGCTGTTCCATTAGTGTCTTGCACAGTGTGCAGTCCTTTGGTGCTCTTCAGAGAGCTGTGTCATAATCCCTGCATCTTTTGAAGAATTTGGTCTGGTGAAATCAAGTAACTGTACATTGTTTAAAACCTGGTGTGTAATTATGTGATGAGACAAAGGAAAGACTGAGAAAGGCAGATAACCAATAGAATCCTGAACTTATCAAAACAGAGCTGTTGCCAAGGACCTTGGAATTCATCTGATTCAGTTGCTGGAAAAATGCCTGAATTAAAAATTATCCTATGAGGACCAAGAAAATAGAGCCAAATTCTGGCACTCTACAGTTTTCTCCCAAAATGGTCATTAATGCTGCAAAAACAGAATAGGGTGAACAGCCCTTGGCCCCATGCTTGGCCCCCTACTGTGGGCTCTATCTGCCAAAATTAGAGGGAATAGAAGATCAAAAATGGGGACAGGGGGAGAAGGTTGGAAAAAGAGAGCTTAGAAAAGGAGGGTATTTGGAAAGGGAAAAATTCATAGACTATGCCCCCTGCCAGCATTGAAATACTCAGTTGCAGCTCCACTCACAAAGCACCTGTTGGCAGCTGTTGGAGAAGTTTATAGATTTTGGGACAGTTCCCTTATGTGAAATGTGATATATGATCTTATTTTAGTAAAATAGAAGCAATTCTTGGACAATAATTACAGCAATAAATATGCCTGCAAAGTAATAATGATGACAGCTTTTGCTTTCATTGAAAAAAATTGCATTCTTTTTAATGAATCTCATTACTACTAATATTAATATTCTTTGGCTGATATCACCTATGTTGTCTTCCTTTTATCCAAAATTGAAAAAAACTCCAATGCTGTATGGAGTGAAAAGAAAATACAGCAAAACAATGATCATAAATATTAACCTGATGCTGCCCTTCAAACTCAGTTGCAGGAAACTATGGGTCAGGGGTGTGTGGAAAATTTTATGTTTTTCAGTCTTTACACATTACAGCGTAATGATAGAAAATAATGAATTTTTTTCTGTTAAATTAGAACTCACAGCGAATATTTTATGTTACGAACTCAGTTTAAACATTTTAACATTTTCACGTTTTTTAATGTAAATTTCTGTTAAATACATTTAATTGTAATTTTAGCATTACAATTTACACCCTCCTTCAGTTACTACCTCCAAAAAAAGTTACTTGTGTTCATGTGCAAAAACTTTTGCTGTTCTTTCTTGTTGTATAAATAGTTTATTATTCCTTAGGATAAATATGTAACAGTTATCAGTAATATATGTATTCAATATGTGAGGTGTATTGACCAGAAAAATTATTATTTTTAAATATAGGTATTTAATATATGTTGAGCGAAAAAATTTATTGCATTTATTGGCTACATCTCCTTTGACTATAATGAGAATCCTCCCTCTGCTAATGCTCTGGTTCAATTTAAAAGGCTTACCTAGTAGGTATCTGTTTTACTCAGAAGGTTTGCATAAAGTTGAAATAGAAAGTAGATAATATTTTGAAATGTAATGCTCTCTGATATAAACTTTAAGCCACATCCCCAATTTTCCTGTTCTACCTGAAACACCTAAGTTATTAGTTCTAAAATAATCAAAATATGAAACTTTATGCCTTCCTTAGATTATATTCAATAACGAAAAGAGGCTCAGGTTTCTGAAACTGATTACATACTGCAATGTGTGCCACTCAGGCCAAGCCTGGTTCCTGCATGAAGCTCACCAAGAGCTTTCCTCCATCAAGTCTGTCAAAGAATAGGACCAAAATGCAAATTCCATTAGTTCAATAGTTTTTGAGTGCGGTATTTCAAAATGCGATTTTCTCCTCGAGTTAATTTCAATACTTTTCTTAGACAAAGAAAGTAGTTGAGTTGCCTAGCATGTAACAAACTGTGTTAGAGACTGTTAGCTTTAGTAACACCTAAGCTCAGATGTGGTGTGTGTCATTAAAGGAAGAGGACAGGATGTGGAACTTAAACCAGTGACATCTGAAATAGAAGAGCATCTAGTGGAACATTAGCAGTGCTTAGTTTCAGTGGGACTGTATGCTATACCTAAAGAAAGGAATTTGCAGATATTTTAACTTGAAGTAGAATGCTTTCCTGAATCAAGATTTTTGGAAATTTAGCTCTGACTCATCAAAAGACACATTCTTTATTATGAAAGCATTGTAATTATTTTTACAATAATCATAAATAAAGTAAATAAATGCATTCAAACGTTGTAATAAGTATAGTCTTCATAACCTGTTTCTTCATGATGTAGCACTCAATTTATTACATTAGGTAAAAAGCGGACATTTAAGATTGCTAAAAACCAGGGCACAGAAATTTCAAAGACCTTGTAATTATTATCTAGGAATATATGCAGGTATTTTCTTGGCATTTCAAAGTCCTGTAAGATTTGTGTAGTAGTTTTTATTGTGTCTGCAGATGGACAGATTTCTAAAATACACTTTTACAGTGGTCCTGATAAATATAACTTTTTACTGCTTGTTTGCTCTTTGGAATGAGGCTGCTATGCCAAATGGAAAGGAGAGTAGGCAAACCTGGAAATTTAACTAGAACATTCTCCCTGGGTTATGTATGGACGTTTCATCAGATGTCAGGTGGGTGGAAAAAATAATAGAGCCAACTTTGAAGGTGTTGTTGACAGGTGAATTTGGGACCTTCCAGATCTCTCTTACCTTGGCATTGACCCCTTGAGACTCACACTCAAAGGGGAAAAGCCAGGACCACGCATCAGCATCAGCACAGGGCAGGGTAGGACAAAGAGGCAGTGAGGCTGCAGCTCAGATGCTCAGGAATCAGCTGTTATCCTGACATCAAATGCATCTGAGCCACCAGTGCAGTCCTGCGGTGTCCTTAGGAATGATTCTTGTATGACAAAGAAGCAAGTACCAACCCGAACTCCCTTACTTTGCTACTCTCAGCAAGACTTGTTGTATTTATTTATGATGCCAGTCAAATGTTCCCACTGTTTTTAAGTTAGAAAACTGAGCAAAAACTAAGATTAAATTGATTGTGTAGGTAAAGTCCTCACTTAGCAGACTCCAGTGAACAACTAGTTCTGTTCACTGTTGAAAAGCCCAATGGTTTATTCACACTGCAGAAGCACATGTTTAATATATGAGTCATAAAAGTACTGTGTCATCAATGATATGTGTAGGTTTTTACTTTGCTTTTCAAATTTCAAAAACTGTTGGAGTCAATGAAAATTAAATTACTATTTGTACAAATGTTTATTAGGCCTTTTTTATTCTTTTATAGGTCTTGTAGAAATTTGCCTGATGCATCCCCTTGATGTAGTGAAAACAAGGTAAGATCATGCTTGAACAGGTTTTGTTGACACTGGAAGATATCCAAATTACAAGCTGTCAAAAAATAAAATCCTAGAACTTCTCCCAGTAAGGTAACTTGTGCCTCTAATGACATTTATATTTGCTTACCTGTATTTACAGCATTTGACAGATGGAATTTGAGCTGCATAGCACATTTCTCATTAGAGGTCATCTAAAGGTGTTAAATCCGCTTATGACACATATTTTTATTCTTGTAACACAATGCTATGACATGAAGATGGCTAAAGTTAAATTCACTTAGTATATGCAATATCTGCTGTAATGCTTTTATATGTAATTGGGAAATACCATATTGCCTCCAAAATAATTTTCACGGATTTTCAATAAAAGTTATAAGAGAAGATGTTCCATATTGTCTTTATAAGCTAAATAACTTAATTATTTTATATTTTTAAAATCTTTTTATCTCTCTTTACTTTTTTTTCTGAATACTTGTTCTTATGTGAATATAAATGATTAAATGACCTTGAAAATTTGCTCAAGTTAATTTGGTTTTTCTTAAGGTTGGTTACTGAAATGGAAAAAAAGAATAGCTGTGTTTCTAGTTTCTGCAATATCCTTTTACTTTCTATGCATTTCAGTTTTTATATAAATGCACAAGTTAGTGTTACTGTACATGAAAAGCAAACCAGAATGGAGAAGGATACTAGTAGAAGGACAAATCTATTCATGCCATATGTGTTACCCAGTGCCAATAATTACCATATATACTGTTCCTGGAGCGCTATCTAGGTCACAGACATGGAGGTAGAAAAGCTTCACTAGGAGACTAATCAGCCCCAAACAAATGATGAGGACAGCTGTGGTCTCTGGAATATGCTTGAATTCGTCAATTATGACTTCATATTCTAGTTTCAGTTAGCCAACGTGTGAGCTTTTTTTGGATGCATTTTTGACTTCTATTTAAATCACATTTTGTGATTTGCCTAGGACCTTGAGATGCATATTTTTCTACAGGTTGCATTTTGCAGAAAGAAGTAATCTGTCTGTGGTCATTGCCCGGTGCCAGGAGACAGTTATTGAGGCTTCAGCTGCATCAAATGCTGCTGAGGTGCTGTAGGTCCTCCTTGAGGCTTGGAGGTTGCTCAGGCATTCCTTCCACATCCCTTCATAATGTGGATGTGTTGATTCATGTAGAGACAATGCACGTGATGGTTCTCAGGGTCCTCTCTGCCCCTCCAAGTACCACTGAAACAATGCCATTAAAACAAGACTTTGATGAGATTGAAATTAAAGACTCAGAAGCAACAGGGTACAAGCAAAACAAGTACAAGACCAAATTTAAAATAAAAATTTGTCAAGTGGTCCCCAAAGGATGTGCTTTAGTGACTTCATTTTGGCGGTTTGTTCTTTAACTCACCTCTAGCTTTCAAGCTTTGATTTTACTTCTCCTCATTTTTCTCTTCGTACTGAACTAGAAGTCATGTTCTTTTGAAGTAAAAATGTAGATCATTCATAATTTAGTGTAAGCCACGTATCATGTGTCAGAAAATACATTAATTGCACATCTGTACTGGCAGTCAGCAGACATACTTTCAGTTTTCTGATAGGAACCACACAGTGGACTCTCTGAACACAAGGACAGATTTCCCCATGTCTCTTTGAGATTTTACTGAGTTTTACACACTTTTCATAGTGAAAAGGCTTTTCAGATCTGAGATCCTGAAATGTAAAGAATTAAAGAGTGTGTGGGGATGTTTGTCAAGCTGTAACAATCCTTAAAAACACAATAAAAAGTAAAAATTAGGAAACCCTTAAATCTGAAATGTAAGCCCATAAACAGTGGAATTTTTAGAAGAAAGAAGTGGGAAGGAAAGAACAGTAGCTGTGCAGAAGAAATCAGATTGTCAATCAAAGTAAAACTGAGGGACTGAATCAAATAAAAAATCCATTAAACAAATTTCTTCATTTGAAGAAACGTCCATTGAGTTAACTCTTCCACTGAGTTAACTGCAGCTCTTTGCAGAAGTGGGCAGCACCAAGTGATAGTTTTTGTAGTTTGTTGATGCAGATGTATTCAGAGATATTACACAGATTTTGCAGTAACATTTCTGCAGATCTCAGCAGATGGTAGTAGTTCAAAATACTTACATTTTGAAAGCAAATGACAAAACCAAGAATAGAATATCCTTTGATCTCATCCATCATTTTGTTCTATGTTCCTAACATCATGCTTCTTCCTTTTATTTTGTAATGGTCCCAATTTACTATAGCAGATTAATTCTTTGATGGCCTTGAAAGTTCAAATGAAACATTGGTTTTAATTCTGAACTTTCAACATAGAATGTTTTCTAATAGTTTTTTATTTACTTTATTCCTTTCTTGCAGTGCTTGTAAGTACTGTTGTGTGCTTAATCTTTCCCAACGTGGTATTGATAATCCACCGCTTCTGAATCATTCCCAGCTATTACAGTTTTGGTGATTGGTTTAAGGTTTTCTGCCTATTGGTTAGGTGAAAGGATGTATGAAAGCACCATTTGTTAATTTTTATGGTGTTGTGAGTTTCCTACCTTTTTCTCTAGAAGTGTGTTCAGTTAAAAGAGTCCTGTGGCCATTTCAGATTATTGTAATCTCATTGATCTGAATTACTGTTCTGAGGGAGTTTAGGGAAGATGTCAGAGGCTCACATCTAGTGGACTGGTGGCTTAGTGCTTCATTGATATTTTGTGTATGTGCATGTTTTTAATAAAAAATTGGAGAAAATAAAGTTTCTGTCAAAGATTATTTTGAAACCCTGGAAAATGGTTTGGCTCTTTTATGACATTTTGCAATATCTTTTCTGTGTTTAGCAATTTTCTATTATTCTACAGTAACAATGCTAGATTTGTTTATCTGCTCACATCAAGGGAGGAACAGTATATAAGTACATGATTATAAACCATAGAGAATCCAAATGCTTAATGAAGTGTTTTTTTCCTAAGTGTACATCTGAAAATAATTTTATTTTTTTCTTTGCTAGAACACCAAAGATCACTACTCTAAGAAGTTCCTGATAGCTGGATAGATTAAGATAACTATGATCCATTGTTTTAGCTTTATGAATCCCACTTATTCTTTGAAATGAAGCTATCTTCTCATTTGCAAGATATATTGGAATACTTTCTGATGAGATATTAAAAAATGATGTGCTGATTTTTTTTTTTTTTTTTTTTGTTGTGGTTGTTGTTGTTGAACAGTTTCTAATAGCTATTTTATACGTCAGTTACCATTATGATTAAGTTAGCCATTAAATAAAGTACTGAACCTCTGTTCTTGTCCTCCTAAATACAGAGTCTGGTAAGATTTTTTGTGTGTCCATGTTTGAGAAGTGACAGCAGCAGCAAGAGTTTTTCGGTACAGTCAAGACATAGAAGGTCTATTTTTTAATTAAGAGCTCTAGATGAAATTTCTTTTCTATAAATTGATGGGGAAGAAAAGTGTCTCATCTTAGGATAAAGAATTGGGTTTGCTTACTTTGTACCTTTTTTGTGTCTGAAGCATAATGCAGGCTGTAATGTTGTTTTCATCCATGAGACTTCCAAAGGATGACAAAATGACATATAGATTATGATATATAGGACAAGACGTTGCCATATGTATTACTTTAAATTTGAAAGTAGTAAAGTGCTTCTCCAGGTAGAGTTTACATGTTTTGGCTCAATCAAATGTACAAAATTCAGAACTTAATTATGTTTTATTGTTGGATAATTGGTATTTATGCAGAAGCTGACAGGTGTGTGGTTGGTGAGAGAAAGGGAGAATTATAGGGAGCTGTATAAAGGCAAGGGAAAGCTAATTGTATTTGAGGAAGCAGCCAAGCAAGCCTAGCTGGTAACTGGAGGATCTTGCTCTGGTCTCTCTGTCAGTTCCAGGTTATGGTCTGAGGTAATCTGAATTCTCAGGAAAAAAAAAAAAAAAAAAAAACCAAAAAAAAACAACCTGTTTCTTTTATTCATTTCCCCAATACTGGGTTGCTGGCATAAAAATTGTGTTTTCAGGAGCTCCATAACTTTGAATTAAATGCACTAACATAGAATTTTCCTTGCTATTACATTTTAACACCTGAAAAAATGCATGCAACCAATGGTCGTATTGGAAAATTAGAACTACAAGTAAAAATAAAATTTTAGCTAATATTTCCCTCAGTTTATGACTTGATTCCCTTTATATGTGCTTTTTCTTTTTCTTTGATTATCACCAGTATTTTTACAGCTGAATTTTAGTGACTCTACTGTTCTTGAAAACAATTTCAAAATTTCCTTTGCAAGTATTCATGCAGACTGTAAAACATAGTTTTTGTGTGGAAATAATAATTTTGGATGTGACTTGGTATTATGTAGTTAGGAAATGGAAACCTACTGAGTAATTTTTTTTAACAGTTATCTACAAACTTTAATAGAAAACACAAATGAAGACATTTATGACTAAGTGTTTTCAAATAATAGATTAAAAAATAACAACACATCAGACAGAAACTTTCAAATGCATAACATCTGAATAGAAAATGTGTCTGAAATTCCTGTGAACAGGAAAAATGTTATGGAAATTAGGTGAATCATTTACTTCTCTGTTCCATTTTAGGTGTAATTTGCCATCACTATACATTTTGAGACAAATATCTGAAAGAGAGATGGTTTCTTTCACATCACAATAATACCAAATTGTCCTCCAGATATATGTTGGCTTCAGTGGAGACAGATGAGTTCATACCACTGGAGTGTTTAGAGGTTTTTTACTTCCTCACAATGTATTCAAAGAGAGGTGAATGTTATGCTCAGTACCATATAAAAGACTTGGAGAAAGTCTAGTTTATTATTTTATTAGTAGAATCATCAGGGTAACCTTTGTCCTAACATTTTAAACATATATTCAGTAGGCAGTTTTTTAATACTTCTCTAGTTAACTCAAATAATTACAGTTCCATTTGATTATTTTCTTAATATTGAAACAGTCTTTTCTATTTTTCAATATAGTTGTG